ACCCCCCCCCCCCCCTCCACCAAAACAAAAAAAAAACTCCACAAAAAAAAACAAGAAAAAAACACTAAAAAATAGTACGTATTGGCAATTGTTTTGGCCCCTGATATTAGAAGCCCAGTCTACTATGACTATAATAAGAACCCCCAACAAAAATAGTATGGGTAATTTTTGTTGGCCCCTGCCATTAGAAGCCTTGATCCTCCAAACTCCAGGGTTTGTCAATGGCCTTTCTCACGCACCACGCGACGGAGTTTCAGCGGCTTGCCCTGCTCACCTCAGAAAGGCAGGTCAGCGAGGGAAATAAACCCTAAACCCTAAAACCCCTAAACTGTAGGTTCCTTCTAGACCCCCTAAGCCCTGAACACGGTTCGAAGGTCCAAAGTAAACAAATCTTGCTCCAGAATCAGAACCGAAGTGTTATGAAGGTTTCAAATTTACCCTAAACCCGGAGCGTTTAACCTTAAAGCAGAAAGCCCTAAAAACCCTGAACACCCTAAAGCCTTCTGGATGCAAGGGGGGAATGCCATGATTGACACTGGATTTTTGTTGCAACAACTTCCCCTTCTCGGAAGGTTCTTCAATAAGTTGAAATGGTCCGGTTTAGGGTCCAGGGTTTACTGTGGTCCATGGTCCATGGACTACGGTCTTCATGAATTTGGGCACTGCTTAGACATTCCTCTAAACCGGTCCATATATACTTCTGTTATCCCAAACCCTGAACCATAAACCCTAAACCCTAAATCCTAAACCCTGAACCCTAAACCCTGAACCCTAAACCCTAAACCCTAAACTCTCAGCATGGAATTAGCCCCCACCCAAACCATAATAATGGTGGTCTTTGAGGATCCAGTTCCATGATGGTACCCACTGGGGCCCCTAAAACCCCAACACAGGGCAGCCCAAAGCCCAAAAGTGCCTCCAGGAGTTAGGTCTGTAGCCTTCCGAAGCATGTATCCATAGACCCTATATCTATCTGTCTATCTATCTGTCTGTCTGTCTGTCTGTTTATCTAGCTGTCTAATCGACAGATAGATAGATAGATAGACAGGTACATAGATCAGATTTACATATATATATATACATAAAGACATGAACTGTGTATTTATACAATATAGCCCCTGCACTGTACCCTAAACCACCCCACGCCCCAAAACCAAACCAACCCTGGCATCCAAAAGGCGCTTGAAGCCGTCCCGCTGCTTCGTGTAAACTCCGGCAATGACCTGGCACTTGCGGATTTGGAAGGTGGAGCTGAAGTTCAAAGATGTTTAAGCGTTTCGGCTTCAAGCACCGTTTTTTTGTTTATGCAATAGCCCCCTTTCTCTCGCATGAGGTCGAAAAGTCCAAGCACCGGTTTAGGGTTGAGGGTTGGGGTTTAGGGTTTGGGGTCGGGCTCAGTTGCTCATGGTTGAACACTGGAGGATTCCTGGCTCGAGGTGTAAAAGGCTTAGGTTTAGGGTTTAGGATTTAGGATTTAGGGTTTAGGGTTCATGGTTCAGGGTTTAGGGTTTAGGGTTTCTGAAACTTTGACTCTACTGCTGGCAGCGCCTGCTCTGCAATCGTGCTTCGAGCCAGGCTGCCGAAGCTGGACATAAATGAACACTAGACCGATCTCTACATGGGTAGTTGTCAAAATTATGATCCCTTTTGGGGTACCCTAAATAATAGGTGCCGTAGTATAATAAGGACCCAAACAATCCATAATTTCCACAACCACCCACATGTCTCCTCCCTGGCCATCCTCAACTGCGCAGACCACAGGGTTCAGGGTTTAGGGTTTAGGGTTCAGGGTTTAGGGTTTAGGGTTTAGGGTTTAGGGTTTAGGATTTAGGGTTTAGGGTTCAGTCAAACAGTTCCAGCCGAAATCGAAGCCCGTGTAAGGCCTACGCCACAACATTAGAACCTTCAAACTGCCCGAACATGAACAGGTCTAGGACAGTGGTTTGGGGTCCATTCTAGTACAAGACTGCTTGTTGAACCTAAACCCTAAGCTCTGAATCCGAAAGAATACTTTTGGTACTTGTTTAGGTCCCTCACGAAGCTCAGTCAGGGTCCAAAAAAAGGGGTTACAGTACCAGAAGGAGTATGGTATAGTATAGGGGTTTAGGGTTTAGTGTTAAGGGCTTAGGGCTTCATGATTATTAATGGTTTCGAATAAGGCTTTAGGATCCCTTTGCAACAGGAACCCTCAGGAATAGAATCTGTCATACAACCTCCTATTGCTAGGCAAACGTCCAGCACGGCTGCCCTCTTGAGATCTAAACGCCAAACTGAGTATATGCGCCTGACTGGGTACCAGTTCCGGAGAGATGAAGATACATACCAACCCTAAACCCTAAACCCTAAACCCTAAACCCTAAACCCTAAACCCTAAAACCGAACCCCACCACAATCAGGGCCGTGAAACCAGAAAGTCGGGGGGGGATGAGGCTTGCGATTTCGTAGCCCTCATTTTGTCGTTTTGATGACACCTTAAGTTGAACTCCCAGACCCCCAAAAGGATCTAAAAAATAGATCCCCCTTAAGGGGGTTCCTATACAGTACCCTTTAGCAGTTAGGGTCCCGAATTAGGGGATCTATTTTTTAGATCCTTTTGGGGGTCTGGGCTTCTGAACCCCTCCTTGTCCTCAGGCGATGCTCTGCTCCCTTTAAAGCCATAACCCCTAAACCCGAACCCGGATCCTTCCCCCCAACACCTCCCCCCCAAACCTGAAGCCCTACATCCTACAGCTCTAAAGCCTTAACCTCTAAACCCTAAACCCTAAACTCATGACTAACCCTTCCTACGCTCAGCCCCGACAAACAAAAATAAACAACCCCAAACCCTAAACCCTAAAATCAGAACTAGAAGTCCTTAATAATTAGAATAGGGTTTGGGGGTTCCTTTTCAGGGCTCCTAAAGGGCCCCACCTCGCTCTCGGCACTCCGGCCATTGATGCGCAAAGCTCCGACGGTGGCCTTGGCTGTCGCAGCCTCGAGAACCTGCCGGATCGATGGTCATGTAGGCCCTATATTACCACCTAGGGTTCGGGGTTCAGGCTTTCGGGGTTTAGGGTTTCGGGGTTTAGGGTTTTGGGGTTTAGGGTTTGGGGTTTATAGGGTTTATAGAGTTTCGGGTTTAGGGCTTATAGGGCTTACAGGGTTTATAGGGTTTAGGGTTTAGGGTTTATAGTAATTTAGGGTTTAGGGTTTAGGGTTTATAGTAATTTAGGGTTTAGGGTTTAGGGTTTATAGTAATTTGGGGTTTAGGGTTTAGGGTGGTAATATA